AAGGATCGCGGCGGTTTGCAGCGTGCGTTCGATGATGAGTTTAATTTTTTGGAAATAACTGGTTTTTCTTGCGTTTTTTTTTGAGCAAATATTTTTTCAGGATTTATTTTGTTGGCGCACAGTCATTTTTTTTTTGAATACTTATACTGCAGTCAGAGCATTTTGGTTGAATTGGTGGCATATTTTGTTGTTGTTTTTACACTTATGGACACTTTTCATGACGACAAGCACTGAGTTGTTTTCACGAACATTTTTCATCGCTCAAAATCAACATGAAAAATCGATTTTTCCCTTTGTTTTAAGATTTCACTGAGTTTTTGTGCTAACCTTACATCATTTTTTTTTAATTAACTTAATTTCTTGTTTATTTTAATCTATTTAGGGTTTTTTCATTTATCTTCATTTTAGTTTCTTTAGTCTTTACATATATTTTTAACTTCTTATTTGGTGTTTTGTTTCGTTTTTCTTTTGTTTTGTTGTGTTTTGCTGTTTTGTGTTGTATTTTGTTTTGTTTTGTTTTGTTGTGTTGTGTTGTGTTGTGTTGTGTTGTGTTGTGTTGTGTTGTTTTGTGTTGTGTTGTGTTGTGGTCTGTTGTATTTTGTGTTTTTAAATTTGTTGTTATTTTATTTATTTTTCTCGTATATGACCTAGTTTCTTTTATTTATATTTACATATTTTTTAATTAATTTTAAAGTGTTTTCATTATTTGTTTTAATTGCCTATAATTTGTTTATATATTCTTCCCCTTGGAGATATCTTATTTAATTTAATTTAATTTAACGTATTCAATTTAATTTGATTTCTTCATATATAACCCGATTTCGCCACTATCCATACATTCTTTTGAATTTGTTTTTCTAAATAATTCTCCTTCCCATTACAGGTAATCCCAAAAGTCTACTGCCAATGCCCGTGGAAGACTCATCAATGCGACGCTCGTGCTCGCTCAGCGACTTGCATATGGGAATTAGCGGCAACATGGGTAAATGTAAGTAGTTTGCTTTATATTTACAAATTCCTGTCTAATTTATCTTCTTATTGCAGCTGGTAAATCCAATGGTAGTCAATTGAAAAATCCAGGCGTTGTTTATCGTAATAGCACAGCGACAAGGTCTGCCAGCAAGCGCAATAGTCTACAACTGAAAAGCTCGACTGGTTTGGGTGCATCGAGTTCATCGATTGGTGTACTAAATCAAGCGGTAAGTTTCAAAACCATTTTTTTTTGTGATAGCATAGTCAATAGTTGAGATAAATTTAAAATCAAAATTTTATATTTGAATCTTGTTAATTTCCAAGGGAAATAAGTCAGACAGTTTTGATGCAGTTCGGTTCATTTAAAGAGGCTCTGTTGAACTGCATCAAATTTCCCATACCGGAGAAATTCTGACATATTCCCTTTCGTAATTAACCGATTCATTTAGTCTGCCTACCTCGTCCCACCCAGGATACTACAAGCTTCCTTAATAAATAAATGCAAACCCTGCCTTTATTCAGAAATTCTTTAAAATAAACGGTTCGACTGTCGATGCAATTAAGTGCGGCCAACGCCCAGCAATCACATCACAGATCAATCGAGTGCATGTTAGAACGCAGGTGGCTATGGTTGGTTAGGTACCCTTGAGTAACCTGGCACTAACTCTATTCAAAAGATTTATATTCTTTCTAGCGAAGAGGTACTCAAAGCGGTTTAAGTTTACCCACTCGGTAATCGTCTCGAAGAATACTTGTTGATCATGCAAAATGGTTCGTTTTCCACAAAGGCAACCGATAACTCTTTCCTCACCAATTCATCGGCCACCGCGTTTCCTCTTCCCTTCCGCCGTGGCCTCGTATCCAGCACAGTGTAGCCGCGTTTTTGCTGTCGAGAATTGAAGTATGACAAGACACTTGTTGACGAGCTTGGAGAAGGTGTCAGTTAGCTGTCAGAAAAGATTACTATTAACATGCTCGAGAATGCTCACAGTTCGGCCTGAAAAGCTGTGGCTATCTGACGACTGAAATAGAAAGTTTAGTTTTGGGTCCATAAACGCCTGTACTTGTTCCGTCATCCATACTTGACCCATCTGGTCCTTACTGTGCATAACTGGTATCAAAATGAGGCTATCCATTTACCCAGAAATCTCTCTTGCTATACCTGGAATAATAGCACCAGAAAAAAGATAATAAAATATATGGAGTCCAGTGGTTGTGTTATCTACGTCTGGATCCTCATCCACGAGTTAATAGAGATAACTTCTGACACTGCCTCCTCTTAGTCCTCAATGACCTAGCAGGCGCAAAATAATTTAGAATCGTCAGACTCGCTCTTCATGTGTACCTCTCTCAGGGAAATCAAAAAAGGAATTACCGAAAAATTCCACTCGAAAGCTAAGCAGAAGTACAGCTACCCAGGGTCGTATAAGATTACCTGACATAGTTGGAATACCTACAACTTACTAAAAAACAAGGCGCTGTTAGGATTGGGCAATGAAGAAACCTACAAATTCTATTTAATTTTCCGTAATAACGGTAAATTGAAAATATCTAGAAAACTTATCCATAGAATAAAAAATTAACTCAATTTTTGGAATCAGTGAGAAATTCTATATAGGCATTGAATAGTGGCAACCATAGAACGTTTTTGCTGTCAACCAGTGTAATTTATTAGTTTAAGGGAGAGTTTTTGTATATTATAAATTTGGATTGTTGAAAACTATCACTTAAAATCCACAATATATGATTTATAGAGTGATTCTGAAAATGAGGACAACAATCGTGGTCGCAGTAGCGGAAGTAGTTCAAATCGTACTAATGGACCTACCGGTAAGTACTTGAATCAGCAAATAGCCGTTTATTACTACTCAATTCCCATAATTGAATTCCCATCTTCCACTTCTAGCCGCCAATCGACAGTATGCAAACAAGAATTCTAACACAAATAACAATCGGCGAAAAGGTTTACAGCCGAATTTCAGCAATGGTAAGCAACTTTTTTAATTTTTTTTATCGATATCAAAACTGCACTACAAAATCGAAATCTTTCTCTAGCCGCTCCACTGCAAGACGATTCCAGCTCCGAAGAGACGCCCGGCGGTTCGTCCAACTCCAAACCAATAGTGCCACCACGCCCGCGTAATTTAACTTTCGATCATAAAAGCAAAGTGCTCAACAGTCCAAATGTGATGAAGCAACGTGGCGTATTTGAAGCGCCTGAATTTGGCGCACTCGAAAGTTCTGATCGTAAGTTACAAAGTAAATTATTACTTTTTGGCGGACGAAAATTAATGTATTTTCTTGTTGTTGTAGCGAAATCACAAGTGCACAATGTGATTAACAATTTATATACAACAACACAAACGGTTATGCAACTGCATGCGAATCTAAAGAATTGTGAGGATTCATTAATGTTAAAGGAACTGGAGAATGCTGTGATTATGACACAAAATATGTTAACAAACATTACACAAAATAAGTGAGTAGCATGCGATGGTGATTTTCTTCTAATCTTTGGAGTTTTGCGATTAAGATTTAAGCTTC